CACACACACACACACACACACACACACACACACACACACACACACATAAACAAATTTATATATATATATATATTTAAAAGTTATTAAAATTGTGGAGGCATAACGGAAATGTTATTAAAGTTGCAGGGGTATAGTGGAAAAGTACCAATTTTCTGAATGAGCTTTTTTGTGTGATACCTTAAAAGATACTATTTGAAAATCCAGATGCAAAAAGTCTATATATCTCACCATCATCTACATAAGCAAATCCTTTTCAAAGAATGAGAACATATTAGTAACATAAGAGTTTCCTACAGTGAAACCATGTTGACTATCCAACAGTATTGCAACCTTCATTAAATGAATTTACAAAGCATCTTTTATTATACTTTCCAAAAGTTTTGCACCACTGATGTAAGACTGTTTGGTCAGTAAATGTCTGGACAATTTTTTAATGTTTTTCTTGAAAAAAGAGGGTTAACATTAGCCAATTTCCAATCTTCTGACACCTGCAAATTTTTAAAGGATGTATGGTAATAATAATTAAAGAAAAAAAATACTAGATAGTGGATCACACATTTAATCCGTGGCCTCCTTCAAAACCTTTGGGGAATTGTCTGGTCCACAGTGTAAGACCTTTTATTTGAAAAGTATATTCATTTGCTAGAAGTTGTCATTTCAGTAATTTATTTCTAGTGTCACACACACCAATGTTGAAGACATGGCTGCAGTGATGAAAAATACCAGGAGAGCTACACAAACAACATATACTGAAAGTTTCTGGTTCAAGTATGCTCTGTCATCTACAGCTGCAGCATGTGCAGAAACAGGTCAGTAAGCTGTTTTTCTTATCAATTTCCTGAGCGAACTTTTTGATCTTTACAATTACAGAAGAATTTGTCTTTTACAGACAGTAAAAGGATTAGAAAACTTCACACATATTAGTAGCATCAGCTTTATCTAATTAGGGGAAAATTTAGGCCTTTTCTTTTCAGTGTTTATTCAGTAGTAAATGTTTATTTTAGTGTCTGTATAGGTAAGAAAATTTAGTAGATATGTATAATTTAAGACAATGGCATGACATGATCGTGCAGTAGAGAAACTCTGTGTAAGATGAATTGTCAACTAGTGAACAGTTGATTATTACTAGTACTATTGCAAAAAATTAGCTTGAATAGGACCACTTGTTTAAAAACTTGTCTAACTAGAACAGCTCTTGCAGAATGCAGCCTCTGACCTATGATGTTTTTCACATTTGCAATAACAAACTTAAAATATATACCAAAAAATTCTTTACTCTCAAAAATACAACTCTAGTTACTAAGATTCTATTTGTACTCAAGTTTTGACTATTTTGGAAAATCCCAATTTGCTGCTATTGTAGCAAAAGTGGTTGACTTTTAGTGTGACCTTTGCTTTCGATCTACACTCACAAAAATTGAATAAATTCTTTCTTGAATTGAGGGGCACTTAATCTTTGAAATTTATCAAAATCAGATAAACTTTTCAAAAAGAGATGATAATGTTTTGAGTTATGCTGTTAACACACACAAGTACTAACGAGCAAATTAAAAGTACCATTTTTGTTGAGTTGATATATCAGTGAATGCCTGTGTCAGTATATTTATTGAAGGTAGCTAGCCAGTATATGTTTTCTGGAATTAGTTAAATATCTGTTTGCTAGAGTTAGTGTAGTAAGTCGGCGTATGTTTACTGAAGATAGTTAGTCAGTATTTTTTTTTGCTTTTTCGGTTAAAGCTAGTTATCCAGTATCTGTGTAACAATTAGTAAGCCAGTGTCCATTTGCTAGAAGTATTTGTAATTTGTATTCGTTAGTATGTTATTGTATACTTGTAGGTGCTAGCTGTTTTTTCATTTGGTATAATTAATCATTATCTGAAGAATATACAACTTTAGAGTCACTATTTATCCTTCCTTTTTAATTAAAAATAAAGGAACTGATCTTTTAGTTCAGAATATTAAAAGCTATCATTACATTTTTGTGTGCCAGACTTAAAAGAAGTTAACATCATTCATTTTTTCACTGTGAACAAGAGCAAAAGGGGACAATTTCAGAATTATAGTTGGATTATAGAAATACTTTTTTGTAGAGAATTCTCTTTTTCAAAAGTTTTTTAAGTGGCTTCTTATCCTTACTTGTATACAGCCAAAGGCTGGTGTGTATGCTGGACTTGAACTGTGCTTGTAGTGTGGTATTTTCAGGTGAAATTGATTTCCTGAAAGAGTAAATTAGTTAGGTTCTTTATAGGAGGATTGGCATGATATATTACAAAATGGTTTGTAATTCAGTTAACTAAGTTTAAAGCAAAAAATAAATGAACTGACATGACGTGTAACATGCAATGAAAATAATGTTTGTTTATATAAAAGACACTATGTGCTTGCTTCTGGATATTTGACAGTTGCCTTTTAGTGTATTTGTGAATTGATTAAACTGACATTTTTGAATTGAGATATATTTCTGTTAACCAATTCATACAAGATCCAGTAAACAAATGTTTAATGCTGGATTTTCCAAGAGGAATTAATGCTACCTACATTACTGGTCATTCCCATTTAAACATAACGGAACTTGTAACTTTGAAATAACATCTGATCTACTATTAGAGAACACTGATGTCAAACTTTATGCATAAGGTAGAGACTTACTATATTCCCTTCCTTCTCTCATGGGAAGACCCAGGTGTTATCTCCAAGGGAATGACAAAGAACAAAGGAAGGTAGAAGGAAATCAGTACATTCTTGACCATGTGTTTTGCGAAAACTATACAATCCTATAACAAAAAATTTTTTTGATGAATACTCCGTTAAGATGTGGTTGAAAATGCATGGTATGTCTGCATACCACAGTCATAGTGTATTTTTTTTTTAAGATTTTACAAGCTAGTACTTAATAAAAAAAAAAAAAAAAAAAAAAAAAAAAAAAAAAAAAATATAGTACTTAGTTAATTTAAGTTGACTAGTAGTATTTAGTTAGGTAATTTGTACTTAA